TGTACACGGTCTGCCTTGAAACTGTCGTACTGGTAGCTGAAGAGAGCTGACGAGACAGGTCTGATGCTGTGCTCCGTCTGTTTCTTTTGGCAGTAACTGCCAAATACCGGTCTTCATTCGGCGTTGTAACTCGGGGGCGACCTGTGCTGTAACGTCTACTCACATTACCATCATCTTGGAATCGTTGCCAAAGCCTGGAGATGACACTCTGGGTGATTCCAAGTTCCTCGGATACTTCCAGCTGGGTACGTCCACATTCCAGTCGTCCGATGATTCTGCCACGTAAAAAATCATCCAAATGCTTCCTTTGTGCCCTAACTATGCAGTTATTGCACTGAAAGGCTTTTAAAGCACTTGTGAACAATTTTACTTCTTTGCCACCATTCCTTATATACCCCTCTCTTACACTCTCGTCATTGTGACGTACTACCAGCGTCATCTAGTGGTTTCCTGTAATTTGCATATTCTTCTTCAGGATGTGTTTGATAATTCTACAGGTGAAATTTTAATTTCAGAGTTTGATTTCCGTGTGATTCTGAATTATCCTTAATTTATGGACATCAGTGTATATCAGCACATCAATATCAGCTCATCAATTTTCAAATATTGTTCTTACTTTCAAGGATTCATTTGATTGCAAATGTATTTTTTTAGTTGGAAGGCGAGAAAATTTACGATGATTTCAGGAAATAAATATTATGAAAAAAACTACATCTCGCCTTTACAGAAAAAATTATTTTTATTACTTAACTGTGAAGTCTTTTTATAATAAAAAGTACAAAGTAAATTTTTGTATTGTATTTTTTACTTCTCTCGACAAATTAATAAAAATATCTTAATTATCAAATTTATTGCCCATGCATAAGACAAACTAATGTCTCAAAAACATATACTTTTTTGAGTCATTTATAGTCGTTAAAATTTTAAGTTTTATCAAGATATGAAACCAGATATTATGCGAATATGAAGTATTACTATATGCAAAAGGAAATGGAAATTTTACATAGAAAAAATTGAAGCAATACATATGTTTTATGACTGAGTCTCCAATTTAAAAAAAATCTTGAAACAGTTTAAATACCTCCTATCTGGAATGCCATACTCGATAGAATCCTTGTCATGGACTTTATCCATGCTGTACAGTTTTGCAATCATTTCCTCAGTAAAATAACTGGAATACACCTTTTCCTCACTATCACTAAAAAGAAAATGAATAATGAAATTTAACGTTGTGTTTTTGCTACATAATTTTGTTATTGAAAATTATGTGTTTTGTAACTGTTTTTAGATTTTCAAACACAACCAATTGTTTCCTGACTTCAATCATGCTTAGTGGCAAATTAGATCTTTCTGATTTAATATGTTTTGGTTCTATCCCATATAAGGGCATCGCTCCTAAGTTTTGCAGTTTTGTTATTAATTTCATCTTTTGAGGTAACACAGAGATGGTCTTTTAATTTCAAAATTCCGAATGATTTACACCAGTCACTTGCATGTTCCATAATAATCGAATAATTATTATGCGCCATTTTAGATAAATTTATCATGAATTTTTCTCAACATTGAGTCATTTATAAAAACAAAATTTATACGAACTAAAAATATTACGGAAAAGTCAATTTCTTCCAATTTTAATCTTTAAAACAATTTTTTTTAATAATACGAATAATATTCAAGATAAGTTACAACTAAGTTAGCTATACAAATAGTTTTGCCAAAAACATTACCACGTAATTAAATGATATACAAATTAATTTACCTTTTTATTTCAACCACCACATCTTCGTTATTCATATTATCTCCATCAAATTTATAATCCATCTCATTCTTAAACTCCAATATCATTCTCTCTCTAAAAAAAAAAAAACAATTCTCATAGATTTTTTTAAGCACTAGTTATAAATTAAGTTACGGAATCTAACACAAAAACGCGGTTTCTTAGTAAGAAACATTCCTTTCATTCAATGCATTTGGATTTTCGACTTTCAAAAAAGTGAGAACAGGTAAGTAAAAATAAGGTTCGCATTGTTTAGTAATGAGAGCTGTCCAAAATTTCAACACTTTTGTTGCGTTTTACTTTTTCTTGATTTCAAGTTTTAAAATAATTTTGGGAACATTATTAAAAATAATAACTATTTAATATACCTTTCATCAAACTCATCTTCCTCTTCCTCAGACATAAACTCTGCCTCTATCTCAATCATATCCTCATCACTTTCGATGCTAAAGATATAAAAGAAAACAATTCTTTTAATTCGAAAGGTAAAAATAACTTCTTTTTTGTTGAAAATTTTTTTTGAAACTAATATTTATGTTGTATGCAAGTTTAGTTGAAAATTTTCAGTTACGGACTTCGTGACAACAGTTTATAACTTCATTTAAGCAACAAGAAATTTGCTTGCTAAGAATTATGATGTTTTCTAATTATGTTTAAAACGATGATTTCACTTTTAACGAATTTATCACAGGCATCGGTATTTTCCATATTCTTTAGATAGCAGAGCTTTCAGTAAAACTTAGAGCAATATTCATGCTGTGCATGATATATGTTGTGCATTATATATGCAAAATGTATCTAAAAGTAATATTTATGCATATTTTTAACAATAAAATAGTTGTCCTAAAATATCTATCAAAAAATACTATCCTTCATTTATTTTTTTTTATTTTTCTAAAATTAAAATTTTTCCTTTATTTGAAAAATGGACCAAAAATTCATCTGGGTCTATTAAAAAGTCGCGTTATATTTTGATATTTTTGACTCAAATTTTTAAACAGGCATGTTTCCGAAATGAAATAAAAAATTTATTTTGTGTGTACGAAGGGAACAGAATAAATTAATGGTAACATTTTTCATTGAATTATATCTCCAACTTTTAGTTGCTAAATCACGTGATATCGCGATATTCTTCCCTACAGTTTGTGTCAATAAAACAGGTAGCAAGATCATGCAATTACTTTTATAGAAAATATGGTGTTTTCTCATAACAATGGCACATTGTTTGTTAAAATGAAAAATTGTAAAATTAAAAAACTGAAATGGTTGCCAAAATAAGTTAATTAAAATTTGATTTTATCTTTATAGATTATCCCTCCTCAATTTCAAAGTACAAAGTTCGGCTGGAAATGAGCGTGATAAAACGGAAAATTCTTAATTTTTTTTTCATATTGTTAAGAGGTTCATCTTCCTCTCGCCTTGGTCCCTAACCCCAAATGCATGCTTTGCAATCATCTTAGTTTTTCGTCCAAACGGTGAATTTTTCTTTAAATATTACGCTAATGTAAAAGACCCTTTGTTATTACACTGAAACAAACTATTATTTTGTAACAAGCTCATTTCATTTTTTTGCATATTTCCCTCAGAATAAAGTTTCTTAATTCAATTAAGTTTAATCAGCAATGTAAATTAAAACTCAAAATTACTTTTTTTTAAAATTTATTATTTTTATTTCTAGTTTCGTTTTGTTTTTACATTCTGTCTACATTTATATATTTTGAAACTTAGATTAGCTACGAATGCATCCTTT